TCCTAAGACATTGCAAGCGCGCTGTGTTTTCAATTGCAGCTAAAAACCCAACAGCACTCAAGGTGGGCTGCAGTACCTAATTGGTAGTAGTCTTAACAGTCTGTAATTTTTTATTTTCATTATTTCTAACTTTGAGTTGAGTAAATACTAGCCTCTGGTCTAATATTCCTTAACGGGCTGGCTTAACTCTACTTTGGAAATACGGAGTAAAACTCAACAACTTGAAAATGGACCAACCGTTTTGCCAATTTAAACTTTGCTTTGATTCCACTTCTACAGCCAACGTATTAAAGCCCCAAGAGAGTCAATGTACCAGCCCCACTCTCTTCAATATTGCCTTCAGAAAGCTCTTTCTACTTTCTGTCTCTGAGAGCCCCCAGAGCCCCCAACAAAAGCCCACTTTCAGGGGCCAAAGGAATATTTAGCTGAAGGGAGAGAGGCCGCTCAGCAGCTGAACTGAGGCCTTTCACAGACCTTCTCTCTTCCCAGCATCCACAGCCCTGGCAGTGGTGAGCTGAACACCACACCTCCACCCCACCAGATACAGTGAGAAGGTGAGATCCCCTCGCTGTGACAGGGAGCTGAGGCCTGCTTTCTCTAAAGTGGCTGCTTGTTTCTGCACCAAAACCAGCAGAAAAAGAGCAAAGAGAATGCTAAGTAAGGGCTCCGGGTTTATTGTATCTTTTTATCTAGTTTCAAGGAAGTATCTCTTGAATATTAGTTATTCCCATGCATACAAAGGTCACTTTTTCATCTTGAATCTCTGGAAAGTTTTTAATTAAAGGGAAGGATGTAAAAAAAAACAAAACCCTAATTAGGAAAGAATCTGCACTATCCTCTGGCAGTGAAAGCAGATGTTTTCCATTTGCTTAAGGCTTTTCAGGAGTGTCCAATCTTTTGGCTCCTTTGGGCCACATTGAAAGAATAAGAATTGTCTTGGGCCACACATAAAATACACTAACAATTACGATAGCTGACAGCTTTAAAAAAATCTCATAATGTTTTAAGAAAGTGTACGAATTTGTGTTGCATACAAAGCCGTCCTGGGCTGAATGTACTGCGGGTTGGACAAGTTTGCTTTAAGTTAAGGCCAGGTCTGGAGCAGGCTCCACCTCCATCAATCCAGGTCCCAGCCTTTGCAGCCAGTGACTACTCTCATCCCCAGAGGGCTTTCAAAAGCAGAAGATTCTCTAGCAGCCAGAATTTGCTTCGGAGTTTTGGAAGCAAACGGGTGAATGTTTGATATGACCACAGGAAGTGGCAGTGATTCTTTTTAAGGTTGCCTCTGTGTTAGTTTCCCAGGACAGCCGCAACAAAATGCAGCGACGTGAACAATGGAAATGCCTTGTCTCACAGTTCACGAGGCTGGAAGGCCAGGATCAAGATGTCAGCAGTGTGGGTTCCTACCCAGAGTGGGAGAGACGATCTGCTGTAGGCCTCTCCCTGCTTGCAGACAGTGGCTTCTTCTCCCATCTCTTTGTTGTCCCTCCATGCACATGTGTCTTTCTGTCCACATCTCTCCTCTTATACGACACCAGTCCCATGGGATGAGGGCCCCTGATGACCTCCTTTTGCCTTATCTGTGCAAAAACCATATTTCCAAATAAGGGCACATTCTGAGACACAGAGAATAAGGACTCCTGTGTTTCTATATTTGGGGGACACAATTCAACCCATAAGAGGAAGCATTATTCATCTTCAAAACTTAGTGCAGATTTGAGAATGACTCATACAACGGTAAGGCTCAGCCTGACAGTGAGTACCTCGCTGAGAAGGGATAGACAGGCTCTCAGGGCCAAGTACAGGCATGCTGGGACTGCCCGCATGCCAGAGGAACTGCCAACTTGCTACTTGCTTCTGACTCTAGTGCTCCAAATGCCTCCCTTCTGAAGCCAACTCTCATTTATATGGAAGCCACCTCCAATCCTCACAGCCATCCGCTGAGACCGCTGGTCCTCCCACTTCACTCCTCCAGGGTTTCAGCCGCAGTTATGCCCCTTCCCTAGGCCTAGTCTTGTGCCCATATGAGTTTTCAGCTCTTCCCTCTTTGGCTGACATTTCCTTTTCTCATAGTATTTACACCAATGCCATTCCACGGCTGTGCAAGAGGCATGTCAGGCCTGGAGGGCACACTAGGTTTGGAGGTGGCGCCGGCCTTCTGCAGGCTGACCATCTTGGCTAACGACCCTGTTTGGCATTCACACACCCCCACGCCATGCACATCATACTCATGACCTCCCCACTGCACTGCCCACGCCTGGATCCTTTCCTGCCTCCACCTGCTTAC